CTAGTACTTTTCTACTTCTGTGTGTGGTTTAAGTTGATATTATTTCTTTTCTTGAAACAATAAATAATATAAAAGTTATGGCTATTTGGAGCTCTATATGCTTCACTGATCTGTATGTCAGTTTCCATTCTCATGTTTGGGAAATTTTCAGCTATTACTTCTATAAATAGCTTCTTGATATCACTTGTGTTGTCACCTTCTTTTTCATTTATACCTATCAATCTTATATTGTTCTTCTTTGCATCAGCTTGTACCTGTTGGATTGTTATTTCCTGATTCCTTGTTATTTTTAAAAGATCTTTCATTTCCTATTCACTAGCTGCAATCTTGTTTTTGAGGTCTGAAAGTCTATCTTCACTTTCATTGAGGCGGTTTTGCCAATTTTTGATGGAATTTTTGATTTCCTGTATATCTCTTTGAATCTGCTTCATGCATTCTGTTTGTTTCTTATATTGATCATTCAAGGTTTCCATCATTTTGCATTATTCCTCTATTTTTTAACCATGTCTTCTTTAGATGTGTTCAGCATTTCTTTCATTGCATTTATCATTTCTTCTTTTACCTGGGAGATTATTTCTGGTCTGAGTTCTTTTAGAGCTTCCTGGAGTTGTTTCTTTACTTCAGTTACTATCATTTCAGGACTGTGGCTTACATTTTCTTCTATGTCCATGTCTCCTAGGCTTGCTTGGGGTGGGCTGGCTGTTTGAGGTTTTATTTTGCTCTTTCATTTTATCATTTTCCTGTATTTCCAGGCTTTGAGTGATGTTCCAATGCTTCCCTATGCATTGGAAATCACCTCATACACTTTCAGCTCACATGGTGGGATACAGGCGGCTATCTTCCATCTGGGGTTGCTGCGTATGGCCTAGTCAGGCCCACAGGGACCTCTGGTGTGGCCTCTGGTGATTTGGGAGGCTCTGAGCCATGTCCCAAAGCTTCTCTGTGCACTGGAAATCACCCTTGCTCCAGTCTGAATGCAGGCAGCCTCCCATGGCTGGGGGTCACTGGGCATGGCCAATAATATAAAAGTTAAACAGCTTCATTTTTCAATAACACAGTCAGAATATTGAAATAACTAAAGATACATTAAAATTTCAGAGCATATTCTAGAAAATATATATTCCAGGAAGATGTTTTCTTAATCATTCTTCCCATAGCTTAAATATACAAATATACTTTCTTAGAAAAGCCTTAAATTTATGTCAGTGCAACTAAGTCAATACGTGAAAGGCCAGTTCTTGAAAGTGAGATTAAAAGGTGTGCTTATTTAAGTGGCTATATAAATAAATAATGGTGTTCTATTGAACAGTGATATTTTATAAAACAGTTTAGAAAATTATTCAAAGGAAAAACAGCTAATTAGTCACATTAACTTTTCATGTATAAAATTGCCTTTCAGAGTTAACTGGTCACTTCCACTGGTTTTTTGTCCTCATCTTTTGTATAAAACTAGAAATTCATTACAGATTGGCATTTGACACTTGCAGATATTATGTGTTTTTTAAATCAGGAAGGATGGGGCTTTTAAAAGAATTTAATTATCTTAAAAGTAGAAGTGGTGAGTCACTTTCTCATTTAAGAGGTATGGTATTTCAATAGGAAGACAATATTTGCCTTCTACAAAATTTTTCCTAAGAAGAAAGTGCTCAGAAGAGTGAGAAGATATTGTCAATAGTTTAATAGAATTGTACTCCTGGTCCTTTGTCACAGCTCAAATTTGCATTCAGGATACAAAGAAAGATTCAGTTTCCTCACTGTCTAATCAACTTATTCCTGTCAGGTTCACCTTCAAGTTGGTTCTTGCCTTTGCTAAGAGCCCTTAGTTCTTAACTTATAGAGGAACCTGAAGCAGATGGTTGGGTTACTTTGATGGCTACTTGATGTTTCTTTTTTTTAAAGGAGCATTTGCTATGAGGTCCTTCCCTGAAGAATCTCACTATGGGCAAAGTATCTGTTGATGGGGACCCCTCAGGGCACTCTTCTGTAAGATATGAAAATGATTTTTATTTTTAAGCTGTCTATTGCACATTTATCTGTAGGAGACTCAATCCATATTTTCCAATTAAGGGAGACTGTATAAACACATTTCTAAGTCTTTGAGCTTGCTTCTTTTAAACCCTTAAGAGGCATACATACAATATTCAATTCCTTTATAGTTTGAAAGTGGGATGCTTTTCTGTGATAGATATCTGAATCTATTGCTTGTTATTTTTTCCCTCAAGTTCCTTTTCCAGGTTTTTGGCATCAGGGTTATCATGTCTTGCCATGGCTCTGAAAGTGCTGACGTACATTGCAGCCATGCTAAGATACTGTGATTCATTGTGTTCCTACGCAGGGCTCACCCTTCAGGTGGTCTTCCCTTCCAGAGTTGTTTCTGTGCTGTTGGCATTCCCTGCCAGGCTACTTTTGTAGGCTCCAGGGTTCCCTGTAATGTTGGACTGCCTCTCTCACACACCTTCCGTGGCTTGCTACTGCTTAGAGAACAAGTGAAGTCCAGAGTTCCAGGCTTCCTCCTCAGCTTGTGTTCACTGCTTCCCTGATGTCCTCTCACTGGAGCCACAGGGGTCTGCTGTGGGGCATTCAGTGTGCTCCAACCCTCTTTTACTTGGCCAGGACAGTAGTCACCTAATAAAGCTTCTTTTCACAGAGCTCTGGTACCTATCCAGAAAGCCATGTCTTAGTTATCTTTATATCCACTTGGGATCAAACCAAGGCTTCAGAAAATGACTGCTCAGCGATTTGTGAAACGGCGCCTATCATATACATGTATTGAATATCACACTGTACCCCATAAGTATGTGTAACTAGTACATGTTACTCAGAAAAAATTTAAATATTCATCAGGATGGAAATAAGTGCCTTGATTTGTTCATTACACATTGTATACCTACCTGTATTGAAATTATCATGGCATACACCATAAACTTATACAGTTAAACTAATAAAAATAAGTAAAATAAAATGTTATACATAGTGGTGAGTAGAAAGACTGATATTCTAGTGCTTATGTCACTATTTGCAGACAGATCTTGTTTTTATTCTGGTACCATCTGCCTCCTTTTCCTGTGTTTGGCTTATTGGGACAATCAGAAAAGGAACAATTGATAAAAGCACTTTGAAAGTGACACAGCTCCATGCACTTGTGAGATTACTGTGATTTTCAGAGCCAAAAGATTTATAACTTTCTCAGGCTTCTTATTCATTCATTCCAGCTCAGAGATATTCTCTGACAAAGTATATTAGGCAGTCTGCCTCTCTCAGTGGTGGAACTTTCTGATGTAAATAGCAAATGGTTTTACTTGATGGTAAATCTACCTGACTGAGATGGTACTGGTTTTGATAGGTGTCATCAAATCATCCCAGACCTGAATTCAGTATCTTTTAGTGATATCTGCACACTTACTTCCTTTATAGCATTATTCACAATGTCCAAGAATTAGAATATCAGTGTCTGTTGATGAGATGAATAAAGAAAATGTAGTTTATATATATAATGGAATGTTACTCATTATAAAAAAGAAACTCCACCATCTTTTGCGAGCATAAATAAACTTGAAGAACATTATACTAAGTTGAATAAGCCAGGCACAGAAATATAAATACAATATCATCTGTTGTATATATAGAACCTATAAAGGTAGAATTGTGGTTTCCAGGGGCTGGGGGGGGGTGTGTGTGTGAAAAAATATTGGTGAAAGAGTATAAAATCTCGGTAAAATGTCTTAAGTTCTGGGAATCTGTATACAGCATGAATGATGATGGATGACTTAACTTTTGGTAATCATTACACAATGCATATTTATATCAAAAGATGTTATATGTCTTGATTATATAATTTTCATATATCAATGTTTTAAAATTAAAAAAACCCTATGTGCCACGAATCTCTCTGTAATTTAATAGTGGCAAACCTATGGCATGCATGTTGTTTTTAAGACAAAAGACATTAATGCATGAGTTGATTTCTTCTAAACTAAAACCTCGGTATTCAGGACTAATTGCATTGTTGGCTCTTTGTGATTCATAAATGAATTTTGGGTTACAGTTTGGGCATTCATCTCTAAAATATTTGCCATCACGGATGTAGTTCTCTCTTATCCAAAGGAAAAGTCAAAATATTCACTGGAGGGATATTTTCTATGTAAGTGTTGCGTTTCAATAGGAAAAAAAGAGACCAATTCTATTTGCCTTACTTCTACCCTAATGTCTGTGTTCACCTTAAAAAGTTTAATTACAATCCTTTTTTTTTTTTCTTTTTGCCCTGTGAATCTGTGGGATTAACCAGCCAAGGTGATGAAGTTTCCTCTACTTCTGTTCCAGAGATCTGGCATGCTATTTTCTGCTTTTTAAATTTTTTATGGGGCGATTACTTTGAGAATGATGAGGTAAAACTGAGTGCACAAGTGAGTTAATTAGTCTAAACTATTCACCCAACTAACTAGGTCAGGAACGGCAAGGCATTCCCACTTCAATTGGCTTCCACTAACTGGAATGGCCCAGAGAGTGGAGCACCCTGTAGGAGTAAAATTTTACTGCTTTATGTTTGCTGTTAATTAACATCTACTATTTGACTGTGCAACCGAAAATTGCCCACGGTCAAATAATCTTTCCTGAGAACACAATGGTCCAAAGTTGGCAGAGTTCATGGATCCGTGTTCTATTTTTAACGCTTGGGGCAGGGATTTATTCTTATTCCCATTTCTTTAAGTGAAGAAACTGAGGTAAAGAGAAGTAAGAGAACTAGTCCAAGCTCATTTAAAAAATCTAGACAATAATACAGCCTTATACAAATTCAGGCAGGTCTCCTGCAAAGCCTTTGCTCACCAGCCAAATCATAGAGCCAACTGCAAAAAAGGAAGTATTTAATTTTGTAGATTGCTTAGATGATTGGATTGTTGAAGTTTACTTATTATGGTGAAGTAATTCTCATTAACTGTCTTTGAGTCCGTGAGCTAGTTTGCGTTTAATTTTATTTTGTCCATATGGCTTCTGTCTTTCAGCTTCCATCGTGATTCAGAAATGGTGGTGCCACATGAACCCGTGCTTGGAAGGAGAGGATTGCAAAGTGCTGCCCGATTACTCAGGTTGGTCCTGTAGCAGTGGCAATAAAGTCAAAACCACAAAGGCAAGTATGGACAAAAACTCCTCCCATTTACAACTGCAGTGCCTTGTTATTTCCCTTGATTTTGTCCTGTCATGAAGAGAACAGCATTACTGTATGTCGCCAAGTCAGGCTTGGCTGTGCCCCTGTATGGCTTTGGCCTTGCCGAAAAGCCCCTCTCTCAGCATCACCTTCTGTTTCAGGTTTTATAGAGCAAGTGATTTGATGGGTGAACTGTTGGCTTAGGCAGGGCCAGTAATTTATTTCTGTTCCTTCGAAGCCCAATCTAAAGGTAAAGTTTCAGAGGTGATGAAAGAGTGTATTAAAGCAGCATGGTAGAAATACACACACACAGATGATTAACTCAAGGAGAAATACCTGCTGCCTTAACAGAGATTGAATAGTTGAAGCCTCTTAATCAAGTCCTATGTGTCAACAGTTCCTTCCCTGCCCAATAGGCCTTTTTGCAGTCCGTGTCTCTGAAGGGTGTCTAGCCCATTTTCAACTAAAATCTAACATGATTCCACTCTCCCTGTATCCCACTGGTTACTTTGTCCTTGAGATTTTTACCATCCTCCCCTCCACACCTCATGTCCATAGTTCCTTTTCTTATTCTACCCACCGTCTCGTCAAGACTCCAGCCCCCCTACAGTGGCTGTAGACCTCTATGAAATGTCTGTCCTCTTCGGCCAGTGGCTCCTCTTGAGTCCTTGCGCACTGGCTTCTGCCTGTTCAGCCTGTCATAGGTAATCTGGCAGCTTCCAGTCCTTGATTTGCTGCTCCACACCTCTTGGTCTTCTCGTGGTCCCTTTCACCTTGGTACCTTTACAGCACTGTCACTATTTTTGGAATGTGCTTCTTGCCCTCTTCTGGTAAACCTTTGTTTTTTCAGGGAATTCTTTCCTTGTGGGATTCATGGCCTGTATCTCTGAGCATTTATCATAGCTACATTTTATATGGATGACTGTCCTCCTTTGCTTAGTACAGCTTGCTGGTGAATGGGGGAACAGGGAAGTCAGGCCCTATACCTATTTTGCTCACCAGAGTTTGATGAATACCTTAGTGACTATTTATTGAGTAAAAATTAAGCACAGAAGTCATTCTGAGCTTATCAGAGTTGGACATACTGAAATGAAGTGATGCTTTGGGTCAGGTGGCTGAGATGTGGTCTTGCGGAAGTATAATGTAGCATGGCCAGTTTATTTTTTCTTAATGCTTCTCCTTTTATGAATATTTTGAATAATTAAGCCCCAAGAGTTCTCATTCACCTTCAGTAACAGATCAAACAACAGCAGGTTACTTCTTCCCCTGAGAGTGTTTATAAAATAAACAGTATTCTACAAAATATGTATGTAAATAATGCTGTTAATATAAGAAATTAAATCTAACATAAAATATATAATATTTTATATTTTTAAATAAAGCTTTAGCAGAAAGTATCACATCTCAAATAATCAACAGAATATTAAATCAGTTGACTAGTTCCTTATTTTAGTTAAAATCATCATAGAACAATCAAGACCGTTTTCAACATTAATTGCTGTTATCAGATAACCTGTCACTATTCTTGATAGTGTTATGACCTGACTTATAGTTGGTTCTTAGTATTCATAGGGTCTGAGTTCAAGAAATCAAGTAACCACAGATGGAAAATATTTGAAAAAGTTAATTGCATCTATACTGAACTTGTAGAAATTTTTCTTGCCATTGTCCCCTAAAATATCATACAAAACTATTTCCGTAGCATTTACATTATTTGGGATATAACAAGGAACCCATAGATGACTTAAAGTATATGGCAGAGTAGGTTATAAGCAAACATGGCACAAAAATTGTGTATAAGGAAATTGAGCTTCTGCAAATTTTGATCTTCATGGCAGTGCTTGAACCAGGTCCCCGTAAATACCCAGAGAGGATTGAGTTCTTTTATATCCAAGGCTTTGCAAGTCCTTGGAGTCACTAACTGGAGGAGCAAGGAAGTTAACATTTCTTCTGTCTGTCCCAGCCTTCCTTCCAAGTCACTGCCAATAAACTTCCTGGCTCTATAAACTCAATGTGTTTGCGAAGCGCACACTGTCTCAGGACTGCTCCACTATCCTGCCTGACCCTTTAAGCCATTTTCCCTTAAGTGCTCCCTAAATGAAAATACTGAAGTCTCTAATGAGGTAAGGTCTTACATCCATCAGGGCTAGTTTTTTTTTCTTTCACTGTATTTCTTGTAGACTAAGAAATAACAGAAGATTGTATTGATTTTTAGATATAGATGTAAAACAAGACTATGAGTAGAAGCCAACTACATCCCGGAAAAGAATGCGTCTAAACTGGTCCTCCTGGTAGAGTAGTTCTCTCTCTCTTTCACTGTTTATGTGCAGTAAGAGAGGGCATTAGCAGGAAGCAAACCTTTAGGGGCATTTTGCCTCTATGTGCTGGGAATATAAGTTTGCTATAGCTAAATCCTCAGTGGTAGTGACATTTCATTTAGCACTTGGAAAAGTCATAGAATCATAATACAGTTCCCCAAGCCATCATGATACTTGGACTGCTTTTCTTTAAAGATATGCCACTTGAGAATAATCTAAAAGTCATAAAACTTTGTTTCCTTTATTACTCTAAGTCAACGTGACTTGAACTGCATAAAACATTTTGTTTGTCGTGAGTTATACCACAATACAGAGTTACTTGTGGAGCTGAGACCAGCTTCTAGGGTGAGGTTAGTACCCTGGAGGCTATATCTTTTCAAATTTGTGCAGACCACATACCCCAGGAGAGACAGCAGTCCTATAAAGGCACAGCAGTTGCCTCCCTAGAGGAGGTGTTCCTATATAACAAAATGGTTTCCATTTTCCTTAAACAGTTCATGCACAGCAGTATCAAAACACAGAGAGCTAGAAAAATCAAGTCATCCACAGTAAGCCAATGTCAGAATTTTACATTCCATTTAAATGCAAATATGAAGAGTAAGCAGTTGAGATGTTAATGGCCTGAGATGAAGATAAGAAAATCCCCTAGCCAGTTATCTTTCCCAGATATAAAACACTGGCATCAAGTTTACTCTAACAATATGGTTTTCAGCATCTCCAGAGAAGGTGCAGCTACTCCTTCCTGTAAGAAAATGTAACTGTTGTTTGGCCTCAATTCTACTTGACCTAAATGAATTCTGGGTTTTGCTGCATTCTCTGGGCTGAGCAGTTTTTCCTTATTTTAAGTTGTCAAAGTTAAGACTTCCAACATGTGTATAAAATCATCCTACCACTGAAGCCAAGCCTTTGCCAGAGGTTTTGTGTTTTTTTGCCAATAGAAGCAAATCACATTGAACGTTGAGAAATTTCACATTTTTAATATTCTTGCTTTAGAAATCTCTACTAAGAATGAAGAACTGCATCTTTAGAGGGGTGGCTTTCAGTCAGGGATAGTTCTGCCACTGAGTGCACATGTGGCAATATGTGAGGACATTTTTTTGTTCTGTATTGTGATGTTTGCTCTTGGCATCTGTGTGTTGAAACCTCCTACAAACAGCAAGACAGTCCCCATAACAAGCCATAATCTGACCCAAAATGTCAGCAGTTCCCAGGTTGAAAAACTGCTTTAGTAAAGAGGGTACTTTTTCTGTAGCTCTTTGCAAGATACCTACTTACCCTTATTTCATTTTGCTCTTCAAAGTTTGAGTGTCTAAAAATTTCTGATATGTCACACTGGAAAACTCTGAGAGGGATGAGGTAAGAATAGAACTCACACCTCTGTGTTTAAACCTCAAGAGAGTCCAAATTTTCAGATAGGTTAGTGCCATGATAATAATCTATGATACCCAACATTGGTCAGACCAGAGATAAAAATAATATGAGTCATTGGAAACAACACAGAAATTAAAAAAAAATAGAAGCCACAGTTCTCTTTGGCAACCACCTTACTGTGATAATAATCCAAGTCCTGTCTAATATCTTCCTCAAATGAGATCTTTTTCCATCTCTTAGGCTACCATCCCAGGTCAATGTCAAGGTTTAATGGCTTCATGGTTATAGGAAAGTTATCATAGAGACTTGTTAAAAACACAGTTTGGATCCTCTCTCTAGGGTATTAAGGCATAGTAAACATTGTCAGGGCTTAGAAAAGCATGCTTTAAAAATGTTGTCCTTAGGGTGATAAACAGTATGAGAAAGTCACTATAATCTTACTGAACTCCATACCTATTGTCACCTTTAATTAGCTTCTATCCTGTTTTTATTGCCCCCAGGGTAAATTTTTTGCTCAGGTCCTTCCCTGGTGAGATACCATTACTGGGTTTCCATTAGTAACTAATTCAAAGTATAAGCATCTTGAATTCAGAGCCCTCATTTCCGGTCACCATATAGATCATTTAATTTCCAGACCCATTGCTATCTTCTCCCCTTTCCAAAATCCCGCTTGCTTTTTGGGTCTGACAGAGATACCTGCTTCTCCTTGAAGTCTTGTCTTCTCTGATCTCTACAGTCAGGATACCCTGATGCATGGGAGTGGAGCTAGTATTGGCATGTTAGTAACTTTGTACCTATCACACCTTTAAAAATAGCAATCAAATCTTCTTCCACTCATGATAGGAACAGTAATAATTTTAAGGGAAAATAAATATGAGAGTATCTTATCATCTAACTTTCAATATTGTTTCCAAAAATGAGCTGGGCATAGAGACCAAGCCATTTGAAATAATATAGTTTTGAGACTCACATCCTCAGTGTAGACTGATACTTGATATAAATGCTTTAGGTTCTGTACAGCAGCATGACAAGTCTAGGAGGAATGAACATGGAAATAGCCACCATTTTCCAAGTGCTAACCATGTGACAGGCACTGAACCAAGTATTCAATTCATGTATTTCTTTCACTCTTCACTACAAGGACACCTTTTGCTGGCAAAGAAATGAAGGCTAAGAGATAATCTACTCCATCTGAAAACGTGATTAACTCCATCATTCAGTTGATCACAGGAAAGACCTTGGAGTTCACCTTGTTTCCTCTTCTCACATCCTCTGTGGGAAGTCCTGGTGACTTCCCCTTTCATCACCTGGGCCAAAGTGATCCCTTTAAGTGGATGGCCAGGCCATGCATTCCTCAGCTCCTATTTATACCTTATCTAGGAAGGGCAAAAGCCTTCACAGTGCCTGTACACCCTTGCTCTTCATCTCGTCCTCTGCCGGAAGAGTTCTTCTACAGTGGGTGCAGTTTCCCCTCATTGCCTTCAAGCATCTCCCCAGCTCTCCCCTTTCCTGAGAATCCTGTGTATAACAGTGACCATTCCTGTCCCAGGATTTCTGTTCTCCATTATCCTGCTTTCCTTTCCTTCATAGTACATATTTCCTTCCCAGATTTTTTCCAGGCATTTCTTTGTCCCACCTTTTCCTCAGGAATAAGTAAGCTTAGCTTGTGGACCAAATCCACTGCTTTGTTTTGTTTTGTTATGACCTGAGAGCTAAGAATGGGCTTCACAGTTTTAAATGGTTGGAAAACAAATTAAAGCAAGAATAATGTTTCTTAGCTCGTGAAAATTATATGAAATACAATTTCAGTATTACTAGATAGTTTTATTGGAACAAAACAATACTCATCAGTTTACTTATTGTCCATGGCTGCTATTGTGAGTGGCATGAAGTTGGAGTTCGGCAGTGGCTGCAAGGATTGTTAAGACCTGAAAGGCTGAAGATATGTACCATATTTAATTCTGTGCAGAAAAGGTCTTGTAGGTCCTTCCCTAGAATGCAGGCTGTATTAAGGCAAGGTTTTTGTTTGGTTTGCTGCAGCATACTCACACAAAAGAGCTATTTTTTTTTGTTGAGTACATAAATGTAGGTCATACATATGTCAGTCCATAGCAAAGCTGAGGTTTGAATAAATGCCTGATTGGACCTAAAGACCAGGGATGATGATTATGTTACCAAATAACAGTATATTTTGAAATTTTTTCTTTGCATATCCATGTGAAAGTCTTAAGTATTGATTAGCCTGCAGAAATTTTACATGACCAAATAAAACTATAGATACTGCTGTACTCTTTATTCAGATTATAAGTAATGACCTTAAATGTTTAACATTTAGAAATATGACTCATTCTTCATAGATATGTTTCTATTGAACATAGTTTTTTTAAATAATCATTTAAAAAAAGTAGAATAACTGAATTAAAAAGTAATGAAGGCAAAATTTTGATCCCAACACACAGCGATTTAAATTGGCAATCATTTGAAAAAATTTTGCTGCTGCTAACAAAGCATGCTCGGCATGCATGACATGATGGGCGAAGAGTGTACCTCATTTGATGGGGTTTTTGTAACCTCACCAAGTACAAATCTAGGGTATACAACACCCTGTGATAGAAGACTTACAAGAAATGCAAAGGACTTGGTTTGAAGGGTTGATTTAGTGAGACTGGTTACAGATAATGGTGCACATTGATAGAGTTCACACTGGTGACACAAACGGGGACTTACTTGTTTCATGGCTGGAGGGGTTATCTTTGGTGTGTATATCAAATGCTCACTTATTTATTTTGTTTTAGGTAACGCGGTAGCAGAGACAGAGCTGTGTTTTAATCCTGAAGGAGATGCATTTGAGTGCAGAGCACTCTCATGTGGATTACCATCCTTGCTGGGAAAGAGTTTTGGATGTCAGCAAATTCACATTTGTGATACGAGGGTCATGAGGAGTGGCATTTGCCTAACCATCCCTCCTCTCTCTGCTTCATGAATTTTATTGTATTGGGATGCGACCACTGATGCCACACAACTGTCATCTGATCTGAATTCACCTCTGAGCTATCCAGGAGGAGCAAATCAGAGACATCAAAGTAGATCACCCATAAGAGACCATGTGGTCTTTAATTTCTTTCAGCCTTTACAGAGGATCATGGACATATGTTTCCAAGGATCCTCCTTCTATTTCTCTTTTGAATTTTTTCTTTAACAATTGTATTAAAGTGGTTTGAAAGGTATTTAAACAACAAGATTTTGGCAAAAATAATTGTTGGACTCCAGTTGACTGCTGAATAATATTTATTTTATAAACCTTTAAGAATAGAAGGACACATTGGAGTTACTGTGTATTCATTTATATTTTTACTTTTGATAATTTAAAACTTTTGCCTTTTAGACTTCATTGCTAGGTTAGCAGAAATAAAATGGGAGCATTGTAACCTCACTTCCCATTTGACTGAGTTGTAAAAATGTATTTCAGCTCTAATATTTTGCAATCAAAGCTCAGTCATGACATATTCACACAGAAAAATAATACTTTGGAGGATTTTTATGGCTTATATGTGTCACACAGGTAAACTGTTTTAAATGTGAAGTAGTCTGTGTTTAGATTAAGGGTGATTTCTTAGATCCAGTTTATGCCAAAATATATAAAAATATTTTGTTAACTTGTAGACATGAGTCTTTTTTTTAAAGCTGAATTTTTGGACTGTAAACCATTTCTTCCCAGGTCTACTCTTTCCCCATGTATTTGTTAGCTATTTTGTTTCTTTAAATGTAAGTAGAACCTGAGTGAGTTTTTCTTGTTTTAATGACTGCAACAGACATGTCTCTGCATATTTGCAGATGCTGTCATGCAGAAATGTCAAGCAGATAAGGGATTGCCCAGATCTTAAAAGCATATTGTCATTAATGTACCTACTAGTATAATAATATGGGAAGGGCTTTGTATATTAAGAATACATAGAAGAAAACTTTCAGCATTAATTATCCCTGTCCCATCACAACTAGGGGGATAATGTTATTTACAGTGATAACAATCATTTGATTTCATTCTTGCAAAATATATAGAATAGGTGATGTTCATTTGCTACATTCTATTTGCATTTGGCTGACTACCTACCAGAATTATTACTCCCACATTAATAGTAAAAACTTAATTTTGCTGATGGCATATATGTTTTCTGTGATTATTTCATGCCCCAAGAGTTTATGTTAAATACCAAATCTACAAAATTTTGATATATATATGGAAATACCTAATTTTATAAATAACACTTAAGTTCAGGGATGTGACTGAGTGATGAAGTTGGCATCTAGGTAGCTTTAAGGAGAATTTAAGGTCCAGTGACAGTTGGGCTTAGGTGCATTTATGATGTGTTATGTAAGCTCTGCTTCCTTTGGTGTAAGACCCTCCAAGGTAAGAAAATGTTAACAAAATGTAAGGTTTTATGGTACATCAAATAATGTCTTAGTTTTTAGCTCATGCATCTGATCTTGTGTGGTCCCAAATAAGATCAAGCATCAAAGACACTATTTCCCCTTGAGGTTAATTTATAGGGAGTAAACCACTTTCAGGGAATCCGTGGTCCATTTAGCAAAATGGCAGGCCTGGAAGCTGTCACTTCAGCCGTTATTGCTTCAAAGTGTACCTTTTACCTACTTCAAAAGCAAGCCCTGAAATAGAGCTTTCCTTTGGAAGCATCTTAATGTTACCCTTTCCATTCCTTCTTGTAGGAGAGTAGGAGGGGAATTTTTCTGTATTTTTATGGACCAAGGGAGTTAAGAGGATGACAGTCGTGTCAGCATTAAATCCACTGTGGCACATGTGGCTCCAACACAAGAAACTTTGATTCAAGTGTCTTGAAACACTTAGTTGCCCACTGGGTAGTGTGAAGGTAGCCTAGATCCCTTTACAGCAGCCAGTAACCCCGTAGTTTTTACAACTCTCCCTCATGTCCAGATGTGCTGCTCCCCGCTGCTCACACCATTTCATTGCCTGCCATTGAAAAGGGGCAGCTCAAATGCATACTGACCCTCCCCAAGATTCCCTGACTTACTGAGATTCTCTATCCTCATATAAATAAAGCCATTTCTCCAGTCAGCCTACGAGAACTTCATGAATATTCTCATTTCACAGAGAGAGTTAAGACTTAGTAAAATTACACTTGCCCAAACCCACAATATTACTGGAAATTATACAATGAGGGATCACGGTAAAATACAGGAAATTGTAGACTTATTTTTGAGTAATTTAAAAATAACATTCACTGTTCTGTATTTTAAGTGTCATGGAAATGTACTAGTCTTAGAATCTGGCTAGTATCTGCCTATTTTTCCATGTTTTTTAGGGCACACTGGCTGTACAGATTAATGGGTTTCATTTTGGCCGATTTGTACATGCACATCACATCTTCCTGTATCCCTGTGTTATCCTTTTGCCACCCTCCTGCTTAGTTTCACAATTTGGGGGGAAGGTTTCAATGTATATAACATATTTTGATCATATTCATGCTTTCCTATCATCAAGGTTAGATATGTTTACAGCAGCACCTGATTTCTTTGCTACTATCGTATAATGTGTCAATGAACTAATAAAGAAAATCATGCTGCTAATATTTTTAAGTGAACCAGATGTTTATAGCTGAATTTCTATTTAAATTCCAGTATTTTCTATTTATTTAAAGGAAACTTTTGGCCTTGTATAGTACCACACATACTATTCTGTGGTTATATGAACTATGAGCTCCTTGTAAGACTCTGCACACACCCCTGTCTTTTTTTTTTTTTTTTTGTCTTTTTCGTTTTAATCGGTTTCAGGGATCAAACTCACGATCGCACACTTGCAAGGCAGGAGCTTATGCCGCTGAGCTAAATCCCCAGCCCCCACACCACTGTCTTTATTTGAAGATCACCAGCCCTTCTGCACAAGAGAAGTTTTGGTTAGAGGCTGCATTAGGGTGTATATGATCCAGCAGATGTCATGTGGATATTCAAAATTCTTGAATATAAACATGCAGTAACGCTAAACTTGTATTTTCTCATTTTACCTTTTAGGTGAAGAGAAGTGGCCCCTTTGATTGATTGATTGATTTTCCTCAGTCCACCATCATTATGATTTGGCTAGCTCCCTTTATTTGAATATTTGTTCATATGGCCAAATTTCATTTTGGGAGAATTTCTTAAAATGGCAATGGAAACCATTAGACAAAGATGTTTTATATCGTAGATAAGTTTGTTAGAACTGAAAAATTCCTCTGCACATATAGGACACAATAAAAATGTGAATATTTTAAACAAGACATTTATCACAGTGAAAGACACATTGACATTAATCCCCCTCAAAATATCTCCCCTCACTTAAACACACATATCCTACTGTTCTTGCTACTTTCTGGAGCAATTCTGGAAGTCTTCCCTTACTGTCTTTAATTGTGCTGTTGAAGCTGACTTGATATCCTGAATGGATTCAAAATGTTACATATCGTGGTAATTTTGACTTTGCGGAAAACCCAGAAGTGGCCCAGCGCTAGACCTGGTGAATAGAATGGATACATAGAAATGTTTTTACGAGCCTGTCGTTCTGGTGGGTGGCACTTGGTGGCGGTATTCACCACTTTTTTAATCACAATTACAAAGACTTACAAAAGAGGACTTCCAGAACTGCTTCAGAAAGTGGCAAGAATGAGATGAATGTGTTTGAAGAGGGGTGTGGGGGGTATTTTGAGTGAGATTAATGGGTGTCTTACTTAATAAATTTTTTATGGTTTTAAATATTAACTATATTTTGTGGACTAAATCCAATTCTATTCCGATGATCAACTTCACCTTGAAATTGCCAAAGCACTATTTAGAGAGCAACAAAGTATATGGATTTCTCTGTTCTAGGGGTTGGCAAGCTGTTATCCATAGGTAAAACCCAGTTTGCCTGCTTTGTAGATATTTATTGTAACCCAGTCCTGCCATTCATTTATGTATTATTTAAATTGAGTTTATTAGAATACTGGAAGATAGTAGCAAAGAATACAAGCACAGGGGGAAAATAAAGCTGACTTTGAATCCTGGCTCTGCTACTTTATCCTAAAACATTATACAAGTTGCAGTTTCTCTACTTATAAAATGAAGATAAAGATATCTACACCTTTGTCTTAGTCCAATTTCTGTTGCTAAAAAAAAACCACTTGAAATCAGGTAGAAAGCTTATTGTGGCTCATGGTTGCAAGGGCTTCGAAGTCCTAGGGCATCATCGTGTCTTGCAATGTAATGTGACACGGCAGAAAGTGACAGGACAAGCAGGTGGACGTACAAACTCTGCCATGAGAAGAGCATTTGTCTCTTAAGAACCTGATTAACTCTTGAGGGCTCCCTCAAAACACAATCATATTTCAATATGCATTTTGAACAGGACAAATATTTTCAAACCAAAGCCACCTCATAGGAGTCTTTGTGTCATAAAAATTATATCATGGAACTCTTAACACCATACTCTTAATAATATTGTGTATCTTTTATGAATAACTTGAAGTCCAACTAATTTCTACAAGAGGGAAAGCTAGACAGATTTAAGAACTGGGGCTTAGCCAGAAATGATGGTGTGTACTAATAATCTTAGCACCCTAGGAGGCTGAGTCAAGAGGATTGCAAGTTTAAACCCAGCTAGGGATATAGTGAGACTCTGTCTCAAAATAAAAAAATAAACAGTGGGGATGTAGCACAGTGTGATGGTCTCAGGTTCACTCTCCATTACCACACACACACACACACACACACACACACACACACTGAAGATTAGGGTCTAAATGGATGTAGCTTACAAAAAATTGAGGACAATTACAGTAGGCCTTACAGCATGTTCTATGCTTCTAAGTAAGTTCATGCTTTGAGAAAGTAAAAGAAGAATAAACTTACAACTCAAGGAGTACTACTGTTCCTTGACCTTGGCTGTCAGTTGGGTAGAATGCTGAAAACTCTTGTGGCTTTCCTTATTCACAGACAGCCTTGTCCTGGAACACCTGCCTGGTGGGAGTGAGAGCACCCAGAAAGAAAGTCTTGGTGTACAGGTTATTCTGATCTGAATCTGAAACTCAGGACAGGAGGTTCCCAGCTCACACAGAGTTCTTTCAAGTTCAGCCAGAGAAAACCTCGAACCCCGTCCAACCTGGAGCCCTGTCATTTGAATGGAAACAATCATTTCAAGTTACCAAGCAATCTTGTAAACAGAAACTTTGAACAAAAGAGCCCTGTAAATAATTAATGAACAGTTACTGAAGCATGTTTTGCAGTCCTGGCAGTATTGATTTTGGGCCGGGAACAAAGCAGGGTTCTGCAAGCTCTTCCTTTAGTTCCTTTATCTATATGGCATCATCAATATTCATGGCTCACTTACATGTTAGGAATGTAAAATGAAGCATCTTTTATCTTGTTTATTTGGGCCTTTACTCTCTATGGATAAGGTCTCTGACCCATCTTTTAATTATCAGCTTTGATACTGTTAATGAGGAGTTATCAAAATAGTTCAGGACACTGAATTATTAATTGAATAACTGTAATTAACGATCAAGAAATGGAAGCAAGCAAGTGAACTTTGGATCTCTACTTCCAGCCCTGAAATCCAGTTCTCAGTAGGCCAGATTTGGTCTCTGAATTTTCTTGCCTTTGAACTTCATGTCCATTACTGGTTGGTTACATATATGCAGTATAAAATGCAATGTTTTATAGACTACTCACAAACATTTTAGAAAATAAAAACATGCCTATGATAGTTTAGCACAATAGCATCTAAAAGAAAACAAATAATTCACACTTTCTCTCTTATACAAACCAAGAGTGGCATGCCTAGGGCAGCTCAGGGGGGACACGAATTAAAATAGGAATCAGGACAATGTATTGGAGTATTTAAATATTCATGAGTACCATATATCCAACAGAGGATGGAAACTGATTCTGCACGCCACAGTAAAGTGACTAGAGTAAAACTATAAAATCTGAGTTTGAGAAGAGTTAGTGACAACTCTTGAAGCTGTCAAGTCAGAAAAATTGATATCTGATGCTGCAGTATGCTGTTTCAATCATGTATTGTCTGATTCACAAGACCGTAGATGAGGAGTTGAACCAGGGAAGAGATATTTAAATAGTTCTGTATTGAATGTTTCCAAGGAAGAAAGACTTGGCCCA